CCCCAAAACCCCAAAACCCCAAAACCCCAATTATATAATTCAATTGAAAGAGTACTTCACTATCAGGATAATTTCTAAAGTCTCATCATATTGGAAAATAATTTTTACCTGGCCTTTCTCTCGATTTGATCATATCTGATAGCTACGATCAAGTTAAATAAAATTATTCTCAAACAATTTCTTAGGTTTCATCTCTGAAGAAGGATCCTCCTTCTTCTCACCGTCTTGTTTCTTCTTGGACAAGGTCATGTAATCTCCACCTTCATCTTTCTCCTCTTCAATATTTGAGGTGGAGTACTTCCCCAGCTTCAGAGTAGAGCCCTTCTTATTGGCATTCTGACTATGAGTCTCCAGCTGTTCAACTATTGAAGTCTTGGAAAACTTCTTTTGGTCAAGAGCATAGCTCATATTATCGCTATTTTGCTTCGAATGGTATTGATGAACAGGAATTTCCATTAAGTCACTAAAATTTAAGAAATACTTTACAGTTTCTCCTCTTTATCAAATTTGTTGCCCTGCATCATCTTAGGGAATGTTAAGGAATTTATCTTATTTATGCCCTCTTCTCTTTTGCCTAGAGTCTTAAGGATAAAGGGTACCTTTTGAAGCATAATCTGCTGTCGTGATGAGCCTCCCTCAGAACTCTACTAACTCTGGTGTCAGAAGGAGCATCCCTAAATATGGAACAAAGAGCGTACATATTTGTGTCATCTCCTTCATGATATTTGGTTAACTCATGCTTCGTAGTATCATCGTGGAGATGGAGCAAGCCATCGAGAGTTGCTTGACGGCTATAGGATGTTAACTCAACTCATACCTCCCATTGTTGTTATCTTTTTGGTACGAGAAATCTCTTTCTGAACCTAAATGATAAGATTTTTCAGTAGAATTATTTGCTGTCAAAGTCATATAATTCGTATATTCACACAAACCGTCATATCAGGAATTATACAAAAATAAAGATAAATTACTTCTTGAAGATTTGTTGGCATATCTGCATTGTGACTGATTTTTCTCTATAAAATGCATGAATATCTTGCACAAGCCCTCTCTTTAAAGTTAATTCTGAGCGGGATTACTTACTTTTGAATGTAAAGGATCTTTCCTCTCTAACATGGTCAAGATCGATCATTTCCTTGGTTTCAACAAACTTTTTCTGAGCATACATGTCATAGGGCTCTACCATCCGATTCATACCTAAAATTCATACTAAAAATAACAACTTACGAGTTTTTCTACAAAGCTGCATAATTAGGTTGTCTCAAAATCCTTTCTTAAAGGGGTTATTACCACGCTTGTAAATCCTTTTGAGGTTCTCATACGTAGTCTCACCCCTGAGAATCAATGCATAATGGTAGCATGTCAGGCCCACTGGGAAGAACCCAATGAATAAATTGTAGATGATCAGCAACATATTCGGAATGTTCTGCACAAATATTGAGCTCCCTGTACTCTCTGTAAAGGTTTTGATACTGATCACAGTAGAAATGATCAAAGTTGCTGAGAGACATGTGATAAATGTAATGAAGAAATGGTAGTTCCTCTTCCCAATTCAAGTACTGATCCATGGACAATGATGATCAAATGTCTCAACACAATTGCCTCAATAGTATCAATGATGAGACCTAGGAGGTCTGATTATTCAGCAGGTTCAACAATATGCCTGATAAATCAATTTTCCTTTAAAATTCATTAAATTCTTTTTAGATTTTGATCTTATTTGGCTTATTTTAAATAGATAGGTTGGGTCTAGTCCCATTTTAGGAATTATTCCAGGATTTCTTGTTGCAGCTAACATCATGAAAAATAATGAAAGAAGGTTAAATAACGCTGTAATCACTGCAATAATAATTTTCTCAGTATCATTCTCTATTTTAGGTATAATCACGGAATAAAACACCACCATTGGTATATTAGTGATCACCGAGGTCATAAGAATAGCTAATGGTTTTGGCCCGGTAAGAAATTTTCCTTTGCATCAAAATTTACTATTGCCATCATAAAATGTATATCGTTTAAAAGCTACAGAGAATGCTAAATCATTCTCCTAAAAGTGTTAAATACAAGCACTCACTTGCTTCGGCTCTTTATTTTTCTTTAATTAATTTATCAATATCAGTAGTGCCTTGATTCTCGAAATGTCTGCAATGGTTTCGCTGCCCTGACTTGCCACGGATCGAATCCTCCACTTGATCTGTGATAAAGGGTTTTGCAGATATGTTACTCTGGTCTAAAAGATCATTAACTGTATTGATTTACCTCGATCTTCAAATTTCTGTTGCTCCATTTTAAATTATTTCAAATATAATAACTTCATTTAAAAGTTAATAATTCGGGGTTTTGGGGTTTTGGGGTTTTGGGGTTTTGGGG